TAAAGAGAAGCCCTAACTCACAAATCTCCTGAAGTGCTTTGAAGCCTTTGGGATGTGTATGGATAAGGGAACTTCTGTTCACAGAGTATGCTCAGGCTTCTTAAAGGTATCTTCTGGTAGCCTGTTAGCAAATTCAGAACTTACATGTGTGTTGGTTGAAAGATAGTCAGCAGAGGATAAAAATAAATTATGAGACCTGACATCACAAATGAAATTGATCAAATCTATGGGTGGACTCCTCAAGTCTGTCTGAACAGTAGTCAAAAAAAGCAAATGCACTTTCAAGAATAGTCACAGTGAAAAAGGGACAGAGAGATAAACTGAGTGTCCTGGGGCCACTTTATCAACCCTTTGGTGCATCTCACTTCAGTATCATGTGCAAGGCTCAGAACTGATGAAGAAGACTGAGAATATTTAGAGTAGGGTCAGTGAAACAGCTTCTGTAGAAGATGTAGCAACATCAGATAGGGCTCAGCAGCCTGAGAAAGAGGTGATTATAAAGTCCTGAGAGGCGTGGAAAAGATGACTGGCAAATAACAGTTCTTTGCCAATATAAGCCTGAAGATAATCAAAAGAGATTCGTAGCTGCTCTGTTCCAAAAGGGATGAAGAGGTGCTTGTCTCATAAAATGTGGGAGGCTGTGGATGTGAAAAGTTTGCACAGGTGCAGAACACAAATGTGCAACGTCATGGAAGAAAAATCTACCCGAAGGTTATTGGGTACAAAACCTCTGGCCCAGGAAGTCACTGAGCTGCAAAACAGGTGAGAGTGTTCAGGGGAATTATCACAGCCCCTGTGCTCCTGTTGCTATTGGCCATAGTACAAAAAGAGTCCTGGGCAGGTGAGCTGCCAGCCTGGTCTAATACAACTGTATTTATGTCACAGCTTTATGATCCTCCCATAAAAGCACATGACCCAGAATATCTAGCCTGGATAAAGTATGGGATGCTGCATGGCTGGAAATGGCCCTACCAAGAATAATGGGAAGGTGAACTAGAGGGCAGCTTGCAAGTCCTTTCCAATAATAGGTGTTTTAATTAAAAGGCATTGCAATTCAACATGAAGTCTGTGACAGAGAGAAAAGAAAAGAAGGAAAAATTACAGAAAGAAATACCTGAAGACAGCACCTTGCACAATGCTCTCCCCACAGGCTTCCACCAGCTGCTGACAGTGTATCCAAGCCACAAGGTCAGCATTTCTTTCATAAATTCTTGGTTCCAGGATACGACACAGCTACCCCTGACACATGCTGTTGGCCTGGCTGAAGTAGGGTCTTTTAGGTCTTTGTGGATTGAGTTATGTATGTTTCTATCTTTAGTTACAAAACATAGTGACACATTTTTAACTGTAAAGTCTTTAGCTAATCATCGATAGACTGGTGAATATAAAATAGTGCTGTGGTTCTTCAGAGTCTACAACTTCCTCTTTCAATGTTTAGTGCTTATATATTCCTTGTCTGTTTAAACTGTTTTTTCACCCTGTAAAGAGCAGAAGTGGTGAGATACAGAGATATGATCCTGGGACTTTCTTGCTCTCTAAAAAAGAAACATGTTCTGGTAGTTCATTTTACAAGCTGCCCCTCAGAAATTTAGATTTGAAGAAAAACTTTGTTGTTTTTCGGAAAGAAAAAAAAAAAAAAGGGCTTTGTTATTTCTGTTGTTCCTGTTGCCTCTCCATTTGGGATTTTAATCAGGTCATGTGCCTTTCGTGCATGAACCGATACACATTTTGTACCCGTTGTACCTGCTAGCTACCATTGCAGAGCTAAGGCTGTTATACTCTGCTTCGGGAAAGACAACATTAATTGCAGGTCAGCACTTTTATGTGAATTAACCGTGAGACAGACAGGTCACACGTGAAATCATTTATAACCTGAATCTTCCGGTGTATGTGTGTGTAACCAAGGGAAAGATCCTGTCAAACTAATCCTACAAAACCCCACTAAAAGCCAGGGGTATGTATTACCTTTTAAGAAATTTGATGACAGGAGGGAAGGCAAAGGAACAGATTAATTTATATGAATGTTACAAAATTAAACAAACAAAAAATTGCATTCAGGGAATCCAGAAATTTCTCCATGATTCATCTTGCTGACCCTAAGACCAGTGAGTCTCCTGCTGCTGCAGCTGACCGGGAGAGGCAGGACTTGAACTGAAGAATCTTCAGTATGGCTTTTACAAGATTGTCTCCTAGTGTGAGTAGCAACTGCAGTCCAAACAAGGCCAAGGTCTCCTGCTCAACCCAGCAGTGATACTCAGTCAGGATATCCTGGTGTCATTCAGAAGGATGCAGTAGTGCTGCATAAGAGTGCCATACTGAGTTGGAGTGAGGAGAAACATGGCATTAGGCTCAGCATAAGGAACAAACCTGATCTGGACATCAAAGCTGCAGCTGCCCCCCTCTGCTAGGTGCCAGAGCCTGCAGAGGAATGTGAGCTGCCCTGCTGAGCACCTGCACTGCTGACAGACAAAATTTCTGGTAACAACTAGACCAAGATTAAAGCCACTGTGCAGATGAGGCCAAAGTGAGATGAAGCAGTACAACACATCACTGTGGATATGCAGACTCTGTCACCTGTTTTGACCCCAGAGCTGCTTCTGCTCTGTTCTCACTGTCCATTGATGGAGCTGGGCAAGTAGCATCTTCCTGGATACTCCTCAGGAATGAGGGGAATGAGACAGGAGCAGTTTCTGTTCCCTTACCCATAGCAGGCAATGTCCCAGCTCTCCACAGCAAAGTGCCAGCACAGAGCACCTTCTTTTCCTGTGTCCATCAGAGGGTGAGATCTTCCAGGAACAGGTCCTGGTTCCTTGGTGAGATCATTCCAGCTGCACACCTTATGGGTAAGCTAGTCTCCAGAGGAGGGGCAACAGGGATGAGAAAGACAGAAAAAATCCTGCCTTCTCTGTCTCACCTGTTATTCAAAGACTGAATACTGAGGCAATATTTTGATATCCTTCCATCAACATCACATGAAAAGGTATTGTTGGCCACATCATCTGTAGTACTACAATGATTTTTCCAGACTCTATCAGGCTGGCATTGAAACAGGCAGTGGGAGGAGGATATCTGTGGCTCTGGGGATTTTAGCTTGAGATAGGAGGATCCTAAAAGGAAACAGAGAAAAATGAGACAATTTAGCAAAACTGACAGGAATTAATGAAGTGATTCTGTTCCCCTGTCCCTGTGTTTCTCGGTGAAAAGAACTCATCAAAACAATATTGTCTGTCCTGTCTGTGGGGTGAAAAGGGCTCTTCCTACCCAGACAAATTGATCTAGTTTTGTTTTCTCTTCCATTTTGCCTTCCAGAGTTGTATGTTTGGGCACTCACAGGTGAGAGAGACACAGAGAGAGCGAGAGAGACTGGGCTTACAAGCTATCACAGGCAGTAGAACCACAGCAGCAGCTATGCTGCTGAGGTCTAGGGGGAGCTGACAGCCAGGTGCCCTCAGTCACTTCGTCTTTCCATAGATGAGCTCAGGGAGAAATCCAATAAGTGCATAAATCAGCAATTATTTTTTTAACAGAAATAAGATGTGGATGAATTGTATCATAGTTGCCAGTACAGGCTTTCTTTCATGCTGCAGTTTCTTAGGTCTACTTGTCAGGCTATCTAGATCATGTACTTTACAACTACAGCTGTCCCTGGGATGTCCAGCTGTCCCTGGACATACAGCATACTGGTTGAGAGCCAGCTGAACATAAGCCAGCTGTGCCCAGGTGGCCAGGAAGGCCAACGGCATCCTGGCCTGGATCAGCAATTACGTGGCCAGCAGGACCAGGGCAGGGATTGTCCCCCCATATACGACACTGCCGAGGCCACACCTCAAATCCTGTGTCCAGTTCTGGGCCCCTTGCTGCAAGAAAAACATGGAGGGGCTGGAGCACATCCAGAGAAGGGCAGCAGAGCAGGTGAAGGGTCTGGAAAATAAGTCTGATGAGGAGTGGCTGAGGGAAGGAGGGGCTGTTTAGCTGGAGAAAAGGAGGCTTAGGGGGGCCTTATCTCTATCTCCTCCTTGTGGCAAGGAGGAGGTTACTCTTTCCTCACAGGTAACAAGATGAGAGGAAATGGCCTTAAGATGTGCCAGAGAAGGCTTAGATTGAATAGTAGGAAAAAAATTTTCACTGAAAGGGTAGTCAGGCTTTGGAATAGGCTGTCAAGGAAAGTGGTGAAATCACCGTTCCTGGAAGTGTTCAAAAAACGTGATGATGGCACCTGGGGACATGGTTTGGTGGTGAATAGGGCAGTGCTGGGTTAATGGTGGACTTGATGATCTTGGAGGTATTTTTCAGCCTTAATGATTTTATTATTCTATATGACACTTTAAGGCATGAGGTGAAAATTACAGGCAACAACTCTTGGGAACAGGCAGAATGATTACTTTCAACTATGCAACCATGAGACAGAAGCAAAAAAAAGTGGTAAGAATTCTCCAGGTCTGCAATATGGCAAATAAGCTTGATTTGTTGGGGTTTTCTTACTGAAGCACATTGGGCTTGGGTTTTTTCAATCCAGAGTTAAGAGTAAGTTGATTCTCAAGCACTCCTGTTTCTGAGTGATCAGTCATTCAGAGACTAGATATACCAACTGAGAGCATTCATGCAGTGGTTGCAAGAGCAGGTGGAAGTGGTGCATGGGTGACTGAAACACATGAGAGCCTGCTGTCACTTCCCTGGCCCTAACAAAGAGCTCTGGGCTTGCAGAAGTGACTCAAAGGACCGAAGAGGAACGCTAAATGGATGATGGTGTAGCATCAGTAAATGTTACAAATGGGTTGCCAGCCACCCAGAGGGCCACAATACCTTGTGTTGTCTACAAGGTTTGTACAGGCACTGTGTGTCCATGTGACAGAAAACCTCCTACTGCTGCAATTAAAACATTTGAAGATATTAAGGTTTGCAGTAAAGTGATTCTTCCCAGTTCTATCTCTGTAGCAGATGTGTGCTGTGGTAGGGTTGTAACACACGGGCATTCATAGTGTCTCTCTGTCTCTCTCTAGGTTCTCAAGCATCTGCGACACTTAAATTTCACCAATAACATGGGGGAGCAAGTGGATTTTGATGAGTTTGGGGACCTGGTAGGAAATTACTCAATAATCAACTGGCATCTCTCTCCGGAGGATGGCTCAGTCGTCTTTGAAGAAGTTGGGCACTACAACGTTTATGCCAAGAAGGGGGAGAGGCTTTTTATCAATGAAAACAAGATCCTATGGGGTGGATTTTCTAAGGAGGTAAGTGCTTAAATCCTCACAGATTTTCCAGATCCACAAGCTGAAACTTGAACTAGCCTTTCATGCTCCTCATATTATGGCACCCTGTCTCATTAAAGGATCCATTTACCTTACTGTATACAGAGTCTCCACCATAGTCTTTTATACCCTTCTTAGACACTGAAATAACAGACAATGTCTCCTCCCCTTCTGAACATTTCTTGACCCTGGGTATTAATGTTTTAAATTATGTCTTTTTTCCTGGCCCAAGCAGATAGAGTATAATTTTATAGCAGTGTTTCAAAAGGGATGAGAAATTCATTACCTGAGTCTGGTTGTTGACTAAATCAAATTTTCCTGAGCTCAGTAGTTTGATTGCCGAAAAGAGCCATCTCTTTCACTCTCATTATCTCTGTATCAAGAAGTGTCTCTTCTTGCTCTTAGTTATATTTACAACTCTTTCTGCTGGCTTCATCCACTTCCTCGCACCCTTGCCTTGCAAACAGAACAAGCCCTTTCAATCTGCCTGGGTTAACTTGGACATGGTGCTCAAATAGTGGAAGATGCCAGCACCTGCTGGGTTTTTTTTGGTATACTCCTTGAGGATGCTTCTGCAGCCTCTGAAGTAGTGATCTCAAGATGTATCAATTGACTTCAGTCAGGCCTAAGTCCTTCTGCACCCTCTTGCAAATGTTAAATCTTTTCAGCATAATTATTGTCACTAGCAGCCAGGCTGTGTCTGACCCACATGATGGAAACATGATGCAGACATCTCCAGACCAGAGCCAGATGAACTGCTGTCATAGCTGGCAGCAGCCAGCTAGGCAGAAACTCTGACTCCCAGAAGGAATATTGAGCAGGCATATGGTTTCTGGTCTGGAAATGGACATGGAGTAGAGCATTAGCTTAGAAATGTCACTGCCAGGCCCTGCTGTGATGTTTCAATGTCTTAAACCAGCATCTGATTAATGAACAAGGCAATTCACTTCCCAGGTGATTATTCACATTGGCTGAGAGATCAGGTAATGCTTCTGCCTTAGCTACTTACTCAAAACAGTTACAGCATGAGTTCAGCTTTCCTTTAGTTCAACTTCATTTCTGGTTCAAGTCCAGAGCACTCTGAAGGAGGCATGAATTGAACAGAGCATACTACCACAGAAATACTGAACTCAGAGCTTTTCTAAGCCCAGCTGGAGTCTCTAAGCACAAACTACAAGTGGAAGTTAAAAAACTCTTATATTATAATCCCTCTTTCTGATTGTTGCAAATGCATCTTGCACTTTTCCCAACAGTTAGGATTTATTGGTTTTTACTTAAACTCAGTAATTTTGTTCTCTTGGTCTAAATCTCTACAGCAGTGCAGTATTTAACTTCATTCTCTGTCTTAAACTATGTTTGTTGTTAAAAATGCAACAGGATGTTGCTGAGTGTAATGCCAGGACATGTAAATTTTGTGCCGTGGAGGGGTTTGCAATCTCTGTGTCTGCTGCAGCCTTTTTTTTCAATATATAGACTTCTAATTTCTTTCAGATAAAAGCTCTGTTCAAAAAGATTAGCCAGTACTTCACTCGCTGTGCCTCCTGTCATCCCCAACAAAATTTAAATGTAGGTTTAAATTTTAACATTCAGGAACTTCAGTATTGGGCAGACTTGCAAGAGACTGAGTTAAAGAGTAGGTAAGATAGATAGATTCATTTTGGCAGAACTTGATGAAATTCCCCACAGAATACTTAAGAATTCAGCCAAAGCAATCACAAAAGTACTAGCAATTCATCTTTGAGAAATGTGGAGGATGCATGATGTCTCAAAGGATCAGAGAGCAATCGCAATACCTGTTTTTAAAGCAGTTATAAGAAACCAAGGGAATTACACAAAATTGAGTTAAGCTTCAGTAACTTAAAAGACTCGATAAAAAAATTAAACAGTTTATAAACACTTAGAGGATAATAAACTGATAAGAACAAACCAACATGTATTTGTTAAGATAAAATCATGCCAAACCAATTTAATTTTCCTCCCTGGAAGCTCAGTCAACTTAGTAGATAATGGGGAAGCAGTGTGTGATTTCAGCCAGGCCTTTGATTCAGCTCTGTTCAAAATCACTGGTGGCAGCCTAGGGAAAGACAGCCTAGACTGATGAAGTCCTCTTGATGGATGCACTGCCTGCTGAAAGACTGTCCCAAGGAATACAAGCACTGTGTTTATAGCAATAGGCACTAACAGCAAAGAGTGCTTCAAGCTGGGAGTGTCTGCCATATCAGTGATGTAATCCTGATGAACACCTTAGGAGCAGCATTCCCAAACTGCTGCAGCTGCACTTCAGAGTGATAGGCAACAGAGACTGCGCTCACCTGAGCCACAGAGTAGTCAGCTCTGCATAGCAATTGTCATTAGTGAGGGCCTTGCTTCCCCTGTGGCTAAGGTTGATACCTGCATATAGGCAACTTCTAAACCATAGCTAGGACTCATTGCGTACGTGCATCAACACAGGAGGTTCCTGGAGATCAGCAGCTTGGCAGCACTTGGGTAAACTAGCATCAAACTTCCAAAAAGGTGAATGGAGTCTTCCAGACAGAACACCCATTAACTATGTGTGGATCGTGGTACTTTGCTAGAAGTGGAAATTGTAGGTTTAACTCTCCTGAGGTGAGAAAGCTATGTTCTGTGTCAACTCTTTTGCCTTAATTTAGTTGAGAAAAAGTGAGCTCAGCCTCGGGTCATGATTCTGTGTTACAAAGGCCAGGCTTCCATTTATCATGCTGAAGTCCTTGTGTCATTGTACTTCAGGCACGCAGTGAGCGTGCCTGTGCAACCACTTGCTGCCGAGACACAACAATGCTCAGGTGGGCTCAGGCACAGCATAAATGTACAAGCAGCAGGTGACATCATTTACAAGCAGCAGAGGTCTGGAAACTTTTGGATCTGTAAAGTGCTACTGATTTGCATCTTTAGTGTTCTTAAAGAAGTGAGTTTCAGAAAACCATTTTAATTCCCATGAATTTTTAGCAGACAATATGCAATATATCAGACTGGGGATCAGACATCAGGGCCCATCATCTCCAAGGCTGACTCAAATTCCTGCCAGTAGAGATTGATTGTCTTTTCTTCTAATCATCTAATGACTATTTTGGGGTATGTATATCATGGTCACATTCCAGTTTGCAATGCCCACAACACAGCGGAGATTACAAAGATCTGCTGATTTTCCTTACTATCCCTTGATGAGTTCCTTCAAGGAAATCTCAATGCAATGGATTGAGGAAGGACTATTGTGTAAAATGTATCTGTTCAGTGGGAGGAAGAGGTGAGCATTTGAGGCTCTTCATCCAGCATGCCAACCAAGCAGTAATACCTTTGGAGGAAGCCGAGGTCTTGCCATAGTAAGGCATTGGCACCATTAACTTGCTCGGGCTCTTTTCTTGCAGGTGCCTTTCTCCAACTGCAGCAGAGACTGCCTGCCAGGCACGAGGAAGGGCATCATTGAGGGGGAGCCCACCTGCTGCTTCGAGTGCGTGGACTGTCCCGACGGGGAGTACAGCGACGAGACAGGTAACGCCCACAGAGCTGCTCTGCGCCTTGCTCTGCTCAGCGCCCTCCGGGCATCGCCCACAGTAGCGCTGAAATCACTTCCCTGCCCTGCTGGGCTGGTGCCTGCCTTGACAGGAGACTTCACAGAAAGTCTGAGGGACTTCTGAAAAGCTTACAGGAGTTAAGTCCTGTGGTCCTCAGGAGTGCTGTCTACTGCTAAGCCTACTTGTCCCTTCTGCTCTGCATTAGGAAAATTAAGGCAGAGAACTTGAAAAACAACTTCCATAGAAATCCTCTCAGGCAGCCACAAGCAAACTCTATTGCACTGTAGCAGTGGCTTTTCTTCCTCCAAAAACCTGGAGAAAGGAGCAATTTCCCATCCTAAATTCTGTAGTTATCTGTCTGCCTCCATCTTTTCCTCAAAATGTCAGGGTTTTATTTCATGCTTTACAAAGAAATAAAATCCATTGCATCACAGATTTCACAAGCAGAGAGGAATATTTCTCTTTAGGGACTCACCAACAACAGGTTCTGTTGATCACTGGTACTGCAAAAAATCAGAATCTGGATCCCTGGATCCTACCAAGCACCCATGAATATGTTTTTCGTTTGTTTCATTGGGAGCTTGGATCAAGCCACTCAGGTTCTGGAGGAGACAGAAAAGGTAAACTCAGGTTTAGAAATGGTTGAAAAATTATGAATTTCTAACACCACTAGTGCTCCCTCAGTGTTGGGCATCCCCAGGCTGACAAAGACAAGTAAATCCTTTCAGGATATCAGTTCTCTCCACACTGTAAGGCACTCAGGACCTCCTCCTCTCCAGTGCACTGGTCCCAGCAAACACTGCAGACCTTTCCGGATCTTGCCGGAGATGAACAATTCAGTAAACTGCTTGCAAAACTGAACAAGTGTTCTTTGGGAGAATCCGTGTCCTATTAGACAGGAATGATATTTTTTAGCATGACCATATAGTACTATAGGGTGCTTGGAAGCAGCATTTTCAGATTGAATAGAAATAATTCTGGTCATGTATAATAGGGGTCCTCTGGTGTTTTTCACATTTTGGGAGCTAGTTCTGGTGTGGAGGTGAAATTTATGGGGCTGAGGTGGTGGAAACGGTCTTCTTTTTTGCAGCAGTTTCCTGCTTCAATTTCAGCTGACAGCAATAGTCTTTATTTCCTGTGCTTGCCAATTTTATAGGCATAGAGAGCAGTTTTATATCCAGTTTCATTCAGCTGAGACAGTGATGCTACTGTAGGAAACAATCTGCCCTTTCCCAGCTGTTTGCTCCCACACTTTGTCTAGGAGCAGTGCTGGTACTTGAGCGAGTTGAGTCAGGTCTTTGGTCTTCCTGAAAACAAACTCTTGGGAGGCTGAGTTTCCAACCAGAATGAGAAGATGCGTGCCCTCTAGTGTTAACAACACAAAGGAAAGAATGAGTAGCCTTGCAGTATGAGGGAGAACTGGTTTACTCTCTTCAGTGGCAGCACGGTCTCTAAGCCACCACAAGACATCAGTGAAAGTGTGTCATGAGGGTGTGGTGCTAAATAAGTGCCCCTGTCTCTGTCAGAGGCTTCTAGATTCCCTGCTACACAAAATTAATTTGCTGTGTGTGCAGCTTGCAGTTTGTAATGAGCTTCCAGGTAAAAGGCACAAGAAAAATAAGAATTATTGGCTGAATGGATGTAAATGAAATAACCTGGTGATCACAGCTTCTGACAGAGCTTTTGCATCTAGTGCCAGATTTCTAAATAAACACTTTAGGTGAGGCAAAAAGTCCTTAGGAAAGCAGTGTCATATCAGGTCATGGATGGTCTCTCCAGCCACACCTCAAGAACAAGCGAGTTTGAAAGCCTTTGGCCTCATTAGCTGGGCATTCCTGACTTTCTCATTAGCATCGATGTCTGCACTGGAAGCTATGGTCAGAGTCTGTGTCTGTGCTCAGGTGCAAAACTCAGAGGGTGCTTGCTGTTAAAGGAGTTTGTGGACTCACTGCAGCTCCTTGCTATCCTGCTGGGATCCCAAAAGCAGAGGTAAGTTGAGACCTCCAACTCTCTACTCTCAACCCCTTTCTACTGCCATCAAAAGAATTGTGATCCTCCCTGCTAGAGCACAAGACCCATTTGAGTCAAAGAAGAAGAGCAGAAGCAGCAGGTCCTTGCTTTTTGATCATGCAAGCCATTGGCATGAGCATGCCATCACAGCAGGCACAACTACTTTCATGAAGGAGACAGAGGCAGCAATTTTCCCTTTGCAAGTATTAGTGGCACATTTGCTGGGTGTAGGGAGAGTGATATCATTAAGACACATCTTTCCCTGGCATTCCAACATGAAATGAGAATGTGCTGGGAGTCAAGGGCATTGCCTGCCTTCAGGGAAGAGCAATTTAAACACTAAGACTTGCCTCCATGGAATATGAAATAGGCTCTCAAAGCATTTAAGGAGGCAGGCACGATTTTAATTTTCTTTGTAATAGAAAAAGGCAAGATATTCAAATGATGATAAAAGTGAGAGGTATGAAGACAGACAGAATTAGAAGATAAAAGTGAAGGAACAAGGAAGAGGGAAAAACAGAGCCTGTGTAAGAGCTGATAGCAATCGAAATTTACAAAGCTTTGCCAAGAAATGAATTACAAAAAATATGAGTGCAGAGGCAGGAGTTCTTTTAAGCTGGAACCAAGCCTGCTTTGTGTTTTGCTATACAGCCCATGGGAGGTTAGTTGTTTCAGTGTAAGAAACTCTGAGACATCAATATATGACTCGGGGGATCTGCACACAGGAGCAGAACATTCCGTGTGTTTAAGATCAAGGTTGGTGTGTAGCTGTCATACATGTCATCCCACACTTCAGCCTCTCATTCTGACAAACCTCCCCTCTCCTTATCCCTTCTTTTTCAGATGCAAGTGCCTGTGACAAGTGCCCTGAGGATTACTGGTCCAACGAGAACCACACGTCCTGCATCCCCAAGCAGATAGAGTTTCTGGCCTGGACTGAGCCCTTTGGGATTGCTCTGACTCTCTTTGCTGTGCTTGGAATTTTCCTGACTTCTTTTGTTCTGGGAGTCTTCACCAAATTTCGCAACACACCCATTGTCAAGGCCACAAACCGAGAGCTATCCTACCTCCTCCTCTTTTCCTTGCTGTGCTGCTTCTCCAGCTCATTGTTCTTCATTGGTGAGCCCCAGAATTGGACTTGCCGTCTGCGGCAGCCAGCTTTTGGCATCAGCTTTGTCCTCTGCATCTCCTGCATCCTCGTGAAAACCAACCGTGTCCTTCTTGTCTTCGAGGCAAAGATCCCTACAAGTCTCCACCGAAAGTGGTGGGGCCTCAACCTTCAGTTCCTCCTGGTCTTCTTGTGCACTTTTGTGCAGATTGTCATCTGTGTGATATGGCTCTATACTGCCCCACCATCCAGTTACCGAAACCATGAACTGGAGGATGAGATCATCTTCATCACCTGCCATGAAGGCTCCCTGATGGCACTCGGCTTCCTCATTGGCTACACCTGCCTACTGGCAGCCATCTGTTTCTTCTTTGCCTTCAAGTCTCGAAAGCTGCCTGAGAATTTTAACGAGGCCAAGTTCATCACCTTCAGCATGCTCATATTCTTCATTGTGTGGATCTCCTTCATCCCTGCTTATGCCAGCACGTATGGCAAGTTCGTGTCTGCTGTGGAGGTGATTGCAATACTGGCTGCCAGCTTTGGGCTTCTGGCCTGCATCTTCTTCAACAAAGTCTACATCATCCTCTTCAAGCCCTCCCGCAACACAATCGAGGAGGTGCGCTGCAGCACAGCTGCCCACGCTTTCAAAGTGGCTGCCAGGGCCACGCTGAGACGGAGCAACGTGTCCCGCAAGCGCTCCAACAGTCTGGGGGGCTCCACCGGCTCCACGCCTTCCTCCTCCATTAGCAGCAAGAGCAACCACGAGGACCCTTTTCCTCTACCAGCCTGCGCCGAGCGGCAGCGCCAGCAGCAGCGTGGATGCAAGCAAAAAGTCAGCTTTGGGAGTGGAACGGTGACCCTGTCACTGAGCTTCGAGGAGCCACAGAAGAACGCCATGGCCAACAGGAACGCCAAGCGCCGGAACTCGCTGGAGGCCCAGAACAGTGATGACAGCCTGATGCGGCACCGGGCCCTGCTTCCCCTGCAGATCAATGAGCCCCTCGGGGCTGAGCCCAGCTTCCAGGCAGCTTCCAGTCCGGAGACCAGCTCGCAGGAGTCAGTGGTGGGAGACAACAAAGAAGAGGTACCAAGCCCTGAGGCGGAGCCTTCCCTGCCATCGGTTAACTCACGAAATTTTATAGGCACTGGAGGTGGCTCTGTCACAGAGAACACGGTACATTCCTAACAAAAGAAGATTGTGAAAAGTACACCAGCCCCCAAGAGGAACTTGCTCACCTCTTGCTTCTGAACAGGAAAGGCAACAAAGACACACTGCTGCGACACAGCCCCACCACACCTTCATGTTAATGCCGGCAGGGTTACACATGTGCCTCCAGAGGAAGGACTGTGTCTGGGGAGCCTTGGATTGAATTTGCATTTGCTTTATTGAAACCAGGACATCTCAGAAGGACAAGTGAAGATCGCCTCTGGTGGGGTTTAAGCAGAAGTCTGCATGCTGCCTTGCCTCCATAAGCTTTTCCTGCCAGACTGCAACTCAGCTGACTTATGGGAGGCACTGGCCAATTCCACTATATCCCGCTTTTACATTTATGTATAATATTCCTTTTCCCCACTATGTATAATATTCCCTCTTTATCCAGTATATGTGATCTGTAACCATGTGCATCAGGACTCTCAGCTCTACAAAAGCAAGGTATACGGTTTCACTTCAGGAAAGCACAGTCATAGGGAAAATAAAAAAGCCCCCAACATCCTGCATGCTGTGTACAGCCAAGGGTGTGAACATGTAAAGTATTTAATGTGACAGAGCGCCCTGCTATTTATGTTTAGTAATGTCCCAATCTCTCCTTTCTGCCCGACAGGAAATATTGGACAATACTCTCTGTAGACTCCATTGCACTAGACCAAGATATTTAGGTTCCTACTGGTTT